ATTATTGCGAGCAATAAAATTCTTACAGTTACCCCAGATCAGCTCGATGGGATTGAGCTCACAGTGCCGTACTGGTGTACGCAGAACTATGCGGCCTTGTTTTGCAGCTAGTTCGTCAGTGATGTACTGTATTGGCTTTTTGTGCTGCTGGATTTTTTTCATGAGCTGGGGCTTTGTTTCTGATTGCCTGTAAGGCACGTTACAGGAAGTGAGAAAATCCTGCAACTGAGCCTTGAGATTGCTCATGGTGTGTGTGATGGTACCAGGGACACGCAGGTTATGGTAACTGGCGTTATCCAAAATGATAACGCTTGGTTCGTCCAGCTGCGGTAAAAGCTGATGTTCGAACCAATCCAAAAATACCTGCCCATTCATTTCGCTATGATAATCACCATCAGATTTCTTGGCCTCAAAAACAAAGTGACAACCCCCAATCAGTCCCTTGCTACGGGTACCAGCATGCAAGATGATCAGGCGTCTACCTTTGCCTGATGGTAACACTGGTGCCTTAGAACAATCTAAAGGAAGCCACATCCGATCAGTTGAGTGATTTTTATTACACCAGGTTTCATCAAGGTATATAATTTGAAACCCCAAATTGCGGTATTCTTCAACTGTTCTGAGAAAAGCTGATCGCATGGACAGGATTGAGTACTTTTCTCTAAACACAGCTCTGTCATCTCTCCTTTTGGTGTACCTGAACCCCATTTCCACCATAGCTACAATAAGTGTTGTTTTCGAGACATTTATTGTATCTTTGATCTCATCTTGTATTTTAGCACACGTCGGTGGGATTTTGCGTTCATACAGTTTATAAACTGCATGGCATATGACACCCTTATCAAAGCTATCCAGTTTGTGTTTCCTACCTGGTTTTGATTTTGACAAGACCCCTGAGGTAACTGATTTGTTTACAACTTTGTAAACCTGACTATATGTCAAATTAAGAGCTTTACACATTCTATAGTAAACCCTGTCATAGCTGACGAGAGGTTTCCCCCTTTGTTTCTCCAGTATGAAATACTGGTATAAATTTGAAATTAATTGTTCTGCAGAGATATCAAGTCGCATGTTGCCAGTTCAGTGCTCATACACGTGAAACTTCTATGGGTGAACAAGATTATCTATGCGATTTGAATTAAGACTTTTTTACGTAATTATTTTGAATATAACTACTACAAGAGTTCCATCTTTTTCACATGTAGATCAAAACTTTTTACAATCATTTATGTAATTTAATTAGTTGAGACTATATGAATAATTATAGTCTGTATTTCAAAACTACAATTTGTACTTAGAATATCAGGGGTTTTTTTTCATCTGAGCTTTAATTTCCAACTAGGTGGAGTCTTACATGTGCCAAACTTTGGAGTAGGCTTTGGTGTGAGCTATTCTTCTAATGTTTTGTTGATATTTCACATGTGCGAGCTTTTTATATGTTATGACAGTAGATTACCGATTTAACTGTTTATGTATTTCATTTGACTATTTCACCACATGTTTTTCTTACCGAGTCTCTTTCTCAGTTCGATATTTAAAAGCAACGTCATTATTTAGCATTGTCAGAATTTCTAACAGTGATATCGATATGCCTCTGTCACAGACAAAACTCAATGTCTGTTTTATTGACACATATGTGTCGGTCTGCTTGCCTGTCTGCTAATGACGATATTCAATACACCACTTCGATCACTGACCACATGCAATTTGAACTTAACACCTATCAGGCTATACACCATAAACAAAACACATTGATTTATGGCTTGTGCACTCGAGTTCTGTCTCCGTCACATTATGTAATTACACAGACAGGCAGGTGTGATACTTATGCACATGTCATGTTATGATGTCTGGTGACTGCAAAATGTTATACACCGAAAGTGAGCATGTATTAACAAAACCCAACATCTATACACACACAATGAGCCCTGAGTGTAACATGTGTTATATTTAGGATTACACTTTCTTAGTAAAGTACAGATTCTACTACTTACAAATTCCCCACACCCCCTCGACCCCCAATAAAATAAAATAAAATAAATAAATAAATAAAATAAATAAATAAAATAAAACCAAAAACACCCCAGCCATAATCCCCCCATCCTTAACATTAAAACGGACAAAATCCCCCCTACTCATCTTTAGCTTTAGATTAAAGGTTCTTAATCCTTGTTATCATGTTTTAATAGAACAGCTTCATTAACTATTGCAGAAGAGTTGGAGAAGATTGTTTAGCTATGTAAACTGGCATAGAACTGGCAAAAAACGGACTAAATCCCCCCTACACATCTTTAGCTTGGTTCTCCTGATCTTTGATCAACAATGAATCACCTTTGATGTTGGCTGAACAGGGACTGATTGGTTTAATTAACTTTATCCTTTTAATCCTAAATATGTCAAATAAAAACAAAAATGTGCAATGAATGATGTGAATGTGCTCAAATATGTGCTATGTGCTCTTTGACCGTATTGAAATATTGACAAACAATTAATGATGTGGATGTGTTCAAAATATGTGCTATGTGCTCTTTGACCTTGTTGAAATATTGACAAACAATTAATGATGTGAATGTGCTCAAAATATGTGCTATGTGCCTTTTGACCTTGTTGAAATATTGACAAATAATTAAATGGATATCTTAAACTTGTGGGGGGATTTTGTCCTACAATGCACTTTTGGGGTGTGTGTGTGTGTGTGTGTGTGTTTGTCCGGTTACCATTCCACGCACCTGATCGCCAGCACACAAAGTCAGACGCCTAGACCGCTCAGCCACTGCGGCTTATTTTTGACCACTTTCTAAATGGCATTGTGTATTTCATAGCCCTGAGTGTATCGGAAAATGAACGATGGCACGAGGACACAGACATTGCCTCAAGTTGCCTTTGAGATTTTGGAAATTAGACACAGCAACTTACACTCTGACTCATGTTGTTCTTCATTTTAAGTAAATTTATTCTTCACACACAGGATGGAGGGGTTTAATCAGCTATATATTGGCTGGAGGACATTAATGAACCTTCAACTAAGCCACTCTCACAAATGGAGGTAGAATTAAAAAGCTGACTTCTCTCATGAACAAATAAATTCATGCATACTTATGAATTATGAATTTGCACATGTTCAGAAACACATGTTCACAACCTCCTGTTGTGGCATCACTAGCAGTGCCTTAGCCTTCTTCATACCTTGCCATGCTACACATTATCCTTACATTGGTTCTCTCTCTCTCTCTCTCTCTCTCTCTCTCTCTCTCTCTCTCTCTCTCTCTCTCTCTCTCTCTCTCTCTCTCTCTCTCTCTCTCTCTCTCTCTCTCTCTCTCTCTCTCTCTCTCTCTCTCTCTCTCTCTCTCTCTCTCTCTCTCTCTCTCTCTCTCTCTCTCTCTCTCTTCTTCTTTCTTAAATTTTTCTCTCTTTTAAATTTTTTTTTTAAAATTTTATCCTTGTCAGCAACATATCTAAGAACCGTTCACTGTATTTTCTTCACATTTGACCATTGTTGACACCAAGCATCATCAAGGGAAGGTGCAGGTTGACTGGTCATGCTTTTGGTGACATTTATCTTCATCTTAAAGGTCACATGCAACGTAAAACACAACTTTGCAGATTCTGATACCTTTCGGTATGGACTTGGCGAAACAAATCGTCAAAAATGCTCAAAAAAAAAAAGTTCAAACTTTTCACTAATTTTCCCCCGACTTTTCAACAGGTAGCTGGGCTGCGCTCATAGCACGTGCGCAGTGAAATAGGTTCGCGCAGCTTGGAAGCGGGTTGTCCGGTGAATACTCGGTGAAGGCTTTGGTGTGAGCTATTTTTCTAATGTTTTGTTGATATCTCACAGGCGCGAGCTTTTTATATGTTATGACAGTAAATTAACTGTTTATATAATTTCATTTGTCTATTTCACCACACGTTCTTCTTACCGAGTCACTTTCTCAGTTCGATACTTGAAAGCAATGTCATTATTTAGCGTTGACAGAATTTCTAACTGTGATATAGATATGTCATTGTCACAGACAAAACTCAATGTTTTGTTTTATTGACACCTGTGTGTCTGCCTGCCTGTCTGCTAATGACAATATTCAATACACAGCTGCTATCACTGACCACATGCAATTTGAACTTAACACCAATCAGGCTATACACCATAAACAAAACGCATTGATTTATGGCCCGAATTCGGTCTCTGTCACATTATGTAATTACACAGACAGGCAGGTGTGATACTTGAACACATGACATGTTATGATGTCTGTTGATTGTAAAATGTTATACACAAAAAATGAGCATATATTTACAAAACCCAACATCTCTATATACACACACACAATGAGCCGTGAGGGAATCTGCAAATGAACCAGCCGTTACACTTGAGTGCACACCCACCCGCTCTGACTGGGTTCGGTATCCCGGCTGCTTCGTTTCGTGGGAAGTAAACCCAAGTACACAATATTGCACTTTTGATTTCGATTGTACACTTATAATTTTGTTTATATGTTTTTTCATAACCAGCAATGTGTATTATATGTCATGAATAAGTGATAATTGTGTTTTAATTATGTTTGATTTTTTGGTTGCATGTGACCTTTAAACTACAGCCTTCACTTTCATTACTTTTTAAGTTTGATTTGATAATTTGCGGTGGGGGATTATGTCACCTTAGTGGACAATGCTTGTTGATGACATTAATGTCAGAGGGATTCGGCAGAAACCCTCCTTTGTATATGCTGCCTTATAATGCACCTCTTGAGAGAGCATCAATAACTAACTTATAAAACATTATGAAATCCTAAATTGTGTATTTGTTATATCATATTCCATCTTCAAGGCAGTTGTCGTACAATGAGTTGACTTTCATGTGTCGTCAGAGAATACAACAGTATGTGTTGTTACATTATTAGTGGAGATCATACACTACAAGGCTAAATGTGGTTAGTGGTGCATACAGATCATATGCTACATTGCTGCTAGTGGTAAGTGGATCATGATTTGTGTATTTGTAGGCAACATGAAGAGGTGTGAGATGCCAGATGTGAGAGCTGAGGGAGTAATGGATAACCTTGAACTTGCTGTGCCGGTTTTCAAAGCCCTATCACATACAGTGTATGATGGCTTCATAACTACTGAGGTATGTGAACATTTCATGACCCTCATTCTTCTGTTGATAATCAGAGTGTAGGAAATTTCCCCATCAGGACAATTCCCCACTAGGACAATTCCCCACTAGGACAATTCCCCACATGACATTTCCCCATCTTGACATTTCCCCACACCTGTTTTGTAACCAGTAGGACAATTCCCCACTCATAAAATTGTAGTACAGTAGATGCGATGGGATTGACTAATATGTGCATTATATGTATTCACTTGTTAGGGACGATGGGGTTAACTAATCTGTATGTTAGGGGTATGTTGGTCAGTAAGGTCACTAGAATGTTTTTATAATGATTTCCTGTGGTTTGCGGGGACTCAAGATGAAGTGAAAGTTTTCAAAGTAATAAATGATTTCCTGTGTCCATCAGCCCATCTAGCAAAGGCCATGTTACGGTATAAACCTCTCCAAGATTAACTTTCCCCAAGATAAAATGAGATTTACAATAATGTATTTATATTCTGGAAAATGCTGTCAGATTCCAATTTTTCTGAAATGGAACTCATTCTGAATAACCGTTTATGCAAGCACCACTGGGTAACACTCCTGTTACATGTGTCAATGGAGTTTTCACTGGCAAATCCAAAGCACTGTATGAAGAAGATTTCTTTTCTATTGTGAACAAGTGTCAGGAACTGTGTCACTAATTTTATATGTATGTGGCAGTCACATATATTTGTGTTACTGTCAAATAAACCATACACTGTACACCACTGTAATTAGTATTAGTATTAATAGTGACATTAGTATTTGCGTTAGTATTAGTACTAGTTATTAGTATGTTAGTATTAGTACTAGTTATAAGTATATAGTGAATATAGTATTGGTATTAGTATTAGTTATTAGTTTTAGTTATTAGTTAGTAGCTATTGATATTAGTTAGCATTACGGGTGTGAAGGATTTTAATTAAGAGGTGATACTGCACCTTAAATATTTTAACTTGGATATGCTTGGGTCAGTCACTTACCCCAATCACTTCCTTTTGTTTAAACCAGGGCAAATGTTCTGGTTGAGTGGCTGACCCTATTGTTCTTAGCTTGTATGCTTTTTAACCCTCACTTGCACCTCAGTCACTGGACAGAGAAGTCACCAACAGACTGCAGCAAGTTTACTAATTTCAGTTACTTCACTACTGTCAAGGTATGTTTGTTTAATTAAATACATAAACATATATGTGTATATCTTTTCATAAATAAGGTTATATAAACATTATGTTATGTATGCTAAATAAGGTAATTTGTACATTTGTGAGAGGTTCAGTAAATGGCAAAATCTCCTGGAAAGGCAGGTATTTGAATGAGTATTTTGATTTATAAGTTTATGAAGCTTTTATCATGCATGTGTTGTGTATGTATGTGTATATATAATAGTATTAGGATGTTTGGTATTTTACTGTGTGCTATGCCAGATCTGTAAATATGTGCTTACAGTATTTCTGATTTGATGATTATATTTACGTGTGTAAGGATGTTGTGTAGGGAAGTTAGTTTTCAATTATTTCCACATTTGTAGGTATTTTCGGTGCCACTGTAGATGTGACCATGTAGTTGTGGAAAACTGTGGTGTGACCTACACCTAGAGGCCATACTTCTGGTATGTTTGCATATTTTCATCACGTAAATATATACCATTATATATTGATGACGTTTTACACACAGTAAGATGTGTGTATATTTCATATATTCTATATTTACTACTACATTATCTGGACAACTGTAATTCAGGTTGTTGTATCTTACTTGTCAGCATTGTGTAGTCAGATGCTTGACTGTGTTGCAAGGACACTAATATAACACAATGCAGTAATTCTATATTTACCGTCTTTATTTAATGATGCATATGATGTACGCGTTACAGTGTTGTCCATACCGTTGTTTGCAAGCCAAATGAATTTAGCTCGGATTATGTTTATTATCCTCATCATTGTTATTGTGTATTTCAGGGTGTAAAACAATTAACTAAACCCAGTTGTCGAATAAATGTCCGCCATTCTTAAAAAAAAGTAATTTCGTTAGCCAATAATGAGCAATCAATCAATGTATTGGCGGTTAATCCTTTGAAAGAAGGACATTGTTTTTACGCAGACACAGACACGACAGAGTGTATTCAGTATAGATTAGAAAATCTACATACATAAACACTACCTTTTGACAAATCGGCTGTGTAAGATAAAAGTAATGAATCAATCAGCGTGTTATCGGCTAGACCAATGTTTATAATGTTGAGTATTTACTCCAGACACAAGAAATGCCAAATGGGAACCTTTGTCGGGTAATCTAAGTGGTGTTACCACTGACTATACCTGTTATAAATCCATTAACTGACCATCAAGTGAATGATGACAAAAAACATGTGTAGGTTTATACTAGCTAACACGGGTTACAACAAGGGAGTATTAATTGATGTATTGCATGCAATTTTAATTGCATGTGAAAACATATGTGCCAACCCTGTTTTGAGAATAAAAACAGAACTTCATTGTTGCATAAGAATTACATATAAGCATTTGCTGTGTGCTAAAACTGTATGTACCTATTTACCTAAGTAAATTTTCAGATTCTTCTAGCAATGGCAAAGTAGGGTTGTTTAGTTTACGGATTGAAATAAATGAAATGTCAATTTTTAATATCATATGTAATAGACATCATATTTTTACATGACATGATTAAATATTGAGGTAAAAAAACGGAGAAATGGGATCAATTTCGATCGGTCATTGTACAAATAAGGCTTAGCGACACCAAGTGATTTTGACAGAATTGTCTATGAAAACAAGTTGTAACTCGGGAAACTAGGCAAAGCAGGAGACAAAATTAAATGACAGTAGATTGTGAGATCATATAGCTTTCATTTTTCACAACAGTTGTCACGATTTCAGGTTTATACAAACCTGTAAATAAGATAATTTACCCCCAGAAATGTACATGAATTCTGCATCAGCCCTCATATGACGTCACAGAGACGCGCCGCTCTGATTGGTTGAAATTTTGTTCGCAGGTGAGAATTGTGCATTGTTGTCAAAAATGTCGATTTAAGTTAATTAAAGATCGAAATGAGTAGTTTTAGTGACGGGGTTTCATTTATGGCGATGTATTTGTACCCCCCTAGAGTGAATCCCCGACAAAATCCACCCCTAATAAAATCCACCCTAAGAAAAAAAACTAATGACATGTTTAGTAACAGAAATGAATTTTATTCATATCAGTCATTCATAATTGATAACAAAAACAACCAAAATACATATGTAAGCACATTTTGTAAGCACATGTTTGCATATATAAATATGACACATTTTCACATTTCACATTTATTACTCATTCATGCATCAATACATATATAAATATGATAACAGCATATATTTTCACACATTCAGACATATCTATGACTGAACATCTTGCCACATTTCAAAAACGCAAACAACGGCCGACGCCGTGGAGAAGGTCCTCGAGTGTCTTGTCCTTCGTTGCGTCCTTCAAGGACGTTCTTGGAGACATTTGGTGGTTGTTCTGGTTCTTTTTCTTTGGGGGATGACCTCTTTCAGACCTGTAGATGGCTGTACACGCAAGACCGTTGTCTTTTCTCAGACAGTCGATGAGTCTCCACACAGTAGGGTGGGAATGTCCTATCAGTTTCTTGAACACGTGGTTCCAACCTTCGCACACATTGTTTGTTCGAGAACCACCCTCAAGAGTGATCTCATGGACGTTCCAAACTTGTGGAGGATACATCGGCTTGATGCGGCGGAAACGCAGTGACGACTGTCCTGGGCGGCGATTCTGGCGGTAGGTGCCTGTCACGTACGTCTTGTCGAAGTAGTCAACCAGTGGCTCAAGGTCCTCGGAGACAGTGTCTTTTAGGTAGTCCATTCCATCCTCGACGTCGGTGAGAGGCAAGAAAGCAAGCCCATCGATCATAGCATCGGGCATACACACAACTAACAGCACTATCCCCAAGGGGAGCACAGATCACATACAGTTGAGTGAAGAGGTTGGGAGCAGCATCGAAGGTACCATCCATAATCCAGGTGTCTGCTGATGCCAGGTGTTGCAGGGTGGTGTTGGAGGGAAAGACGATGACACGGTTGGGATCTTGTTTGTTGTCATATATCAGGAACGGCTCGTCTGTATCGTCAGACACGGATGCCCAGTCACCTAAAATGAAAAGGATTGAAATAAAATTTAAATTTTATAAATTAAAAATGAGATTTATGATGAGGAGGATTTAATTTTACATACATTATGATATACAATATAAAAAGTATAACTCACCTTCAATTTTCAAGTCTGCAAGTGTTGTAGGATTAGCAGGAAACTGCTTGGCTCTGTGACATCGGAGATCACGTTTTACGGAATCAGTTTCACCTAAAGCTGCTCTAACTTCTACTGGATGGGAAGTAGTGGAGTCTAGAAGAACCTGGTTTGGTGTCTCTCGGGATGTACAGGCCTTCTGCTTCATCTCTGACCGCAACTTGAGGGCCACGGTAGCGCTGGGGTCGGGGGTGTGGCAGTGGTCGGTTGTCCGTACTTCATTCTTCACTTCCACGTCTGTGGTCACTGAACCCTTGCAAGACAGTGCTTTCCGTTGGGAACACTCCCACCTAATTGTTGACTTGCTCTCTTTCTTCTTTATGTATGAATAACCCTGATATAGCAACTTCGAACCACCCTTGTAGTACCGTATCACTTCCATGATGTATGGGGAAGTTTCATTTTTGACACAAACTATATATATACTATTGAAGCCTTTATCTTAAGTAGATGATCTCAAACTCATTTAAAATAAACAGGATGATCTCAAACTCATTAAAAAAGTATGTTATATCAAAACATGAGTATAAAGGGCTCCAATCAGGCTTTAATTCTTTAAGGGGATTACGTACTGATCAAAGTGTGAGACTACTTAATGATACATGAAAGAGGATTAAGTAGTGATCAAAATGTGACAAATGGAGAAACCTTTAATGTTTGAAACAACA